TATATCCCGTTAAAAACTGAGATTCACACTTGGGGACCTTCCCTCGTAAGATACTACCACCGTTGGGCAGTCCACCAGCAACTAATACTAATCCATTTGTTAATGTGGATGCTGTGTGATCTTGTCGTGCGACATTCATACTGCCTGTAGTTGTCCAAGTGCTTGTTGATGGATTGTACAATTCAGCACTATTCAGATATTTACTGCCGTTGTATCCACCAGTAACTAATACTGATCCATTGGCTAAAATGGATGCTGTGTGTTGTCTTCGTGTGATACTCATGCTTCCTGTGAGCGTCCAAGTACCTGTTGATGGATTATATAATTCAGCACTATTGAGATAACCATCACTGTTGAATCCACCAACAATTAATACTGACCCATTTGCTAATGTGGATGCTGTGTGATATTGTCGTGCGACATTCATACTACCTGCGGTTGTCCAAGTACCCGTTGATGGATTGTATAATTCAGCACTACTGAGAACGGAATTACCGTCAAATCCACCAGTAACTAATACGAATCCATTTGCTAATGTGGATGCTGTGTGCCAATATCGTGCGACACTCATGTTTCCTGTAGCTATCCATTCTAGATAAGGCAGAAAAGTGAGCAAAAAAATATTATTCTTAAAATCTCTTCGAATTTTTCATGTACATAAGTTGTTTATCTATTAATGTCAGATTAAATGATTTCAAATCTTCAATAAACTTCTCTTTGTTTTTATGATTATGATAAGATTCAATATGACATCTTAAATCATATTAATGAAAAATATGTTATAAACAATTTCACTGATATTTTTCGAGTTGTACTGATGTTGCAAACTGACAGAATTTAATTATCGTTCTGCAGTTCAGTTGTGATGAATTATGATCGAATTTTTAGAATTCAAGCGAAAGTCATTTTTATATTGTTCAATGTAGTGAAAGCAAGATGTATTTTCATCATGTTGGATGGGTGGTGTTTGCATGTGCCATGATATAGGTAAGAATGAATGTTAATGAGGGTGTGACTGTAAGTAAGAGAATATAATTTTCGCATCGTTCTCAAGAGAAAATCAGTACACTAAGTGTTAATTGATGATAATGACGAAAGGCGTTTTTCTTCTTAAGTTTGAAGTTCGCATATTATACTACCTTGATATTTGTTTGAATTACTCAACTCTATACTAATGCGACCTAAAACATGAGATTGCGTGTTGATAGACATTTCTCATATCGATTTTATGTCAACTACGTAGTACTTCAACGTGTAGAATTATTCGAATCCTCTCGAAAATGGTTGGGTGCAAGTAATTACTAAAATGATCAATAAGTACCATCACATGAAAAACGTTTTATCAACAATATTTTCGTCTGATACTGTTGAGCAAGAGAACAATATTGAATACTCAAATCAGTGTAGATTAAATGAAGTCATCAAAAATTGGTCCTATTTCGACTTCTGATAGGAAATGTTCCCTAATGTTGTCTATTTAGATGGCGATCCTTCAATAGTTAAAATCAAAACTTTTAAATATCGTCCCTTCTAGCAATCGTCTTTTGAGTCACTACAAAGGATTTAGTATAGTACTCACTTAGTATTGCTGTTGATAATGTTGCTTCTGTTGATAATGTTGCTTCTATTGATAATGATGTTGCTGCTGCTTCTACTTCTGCTGTTAATGATATTGCTTCTGTTAACGATGATGTTGCTGCTGTTGATGATAATGTTGTTGTTGTTATTGATGTTGTCGATGATGTTGAAGTTGTCGTGGATGCTATTGAAGTTGTTTTTGATGATGTAGTGGATGGTGTTGTTATCGATGACGTTGGTGTTGATGATGATGATGTTGTTGTCGAAATTTCTGTTTTTATTATTGTTGTAGTTTGCATTATAGGTTTTTTTATTGTCGTTGCGGATGCAGTTTCAATTTTCTTTCCATTTGGCATAATTACATTATGAAAAGATGCCTGTTTTATTTGATCTTCCGTTATTTTAGCTCCTGTCATATCACTGTTTGAGAAATGTGCACCTATCAGATTTGCACCATGAAAACTAACACAAACCAAAGATGAACCATCAAATTTTGCATTATCTAACCGTGCTCCATCAAATGATACACCATTCAAATTAACAGATGAAAACTCCGCATTTGACATTGAGACTTGTTCAAAAGAAGTGCATTGTAAATTCAACTTATTTAATATGCCAGTTTCACTTGCTAAATGTACCTTATCAAAGCTTAACTCATTTAAACGAATTATATCATCTAGTTTTGTTGTTCTACATCCATTAGAACAATTATTTCTGCCAATTAGTTGTTTTTCTTTAAGAAATTGTATAACATCTGCTTTACGCGTTGTATCCCATTGACGATGAGCAGCACGATAATATGCATTTGCAAATGCCCATGGATTTCTTGTGTCGTTGAGATAACCATCTTTATCTAATTTATAAGTATTATTTAAAAATTCATCATAAAGTGTTTGTTGTCTTAATTCTCTTGATTGTTCAAAATCAAACTGTTGTTTTTTCTCAGCTTGTTGTTTTTGTTGTTCAGAGCTAACTGAAGTATAAATAGCAAGAGCTATGGGTATCGCGACTGAACTTATAATAGCTAATATATCTTTTAATGTAAAATTCCAAAACGATCGTTTGTTAAAATCAGCCATTGTCTCAATCTGATTTCAGAATGAACAGTGAAATATTGTGATGTGCTCGAATATTAAGAAAACACAAATGCTGCTAATAACTAACTTTTCTCACTTATTTAACAACATATTAAGTAACACTTTTAATCATATTTTCAAAATCAAATCTTACAAAAAAAATAAAAGAAATGAATAAGTAAGCATTCATTGTGGACACAACAATAATTAGGAAAACAGTCTCTAGTTACTTTCAGTATATTGAACATTAAATTCTATCTAGGATAGCAACAATACATACATACCGATAAATGATTATCTCTAGAGACGAAGAAAGAAGAAAACTTATATTGTTGATTTAAATCTCGGAGATTTCTTCTTACGTCTACATGCGATACAAAATCATATAATTTAATTAATTCTCCGAAATCATGGAAAATATATTTTGGCAGTAAACTATGAAATGATCTGATCATATCCATTACAAAGGTCTACAAAAGAAAAAAGAAAACGGATACTCTAGACTTGATGAACTATTTTTTTAGTCAAATGATATCTTTCATACGAACAGTTCTAAATAAGTTTTTTCTTTTAGTTTTTACAAAAAATCCTTGATAAACGTAAGTCAAAAGAAACAGTTTTATAACTGACTCAAGTTATTTAAATTTTTAGTTTTATTAAAATTAAGAATATAATTATAAGAAAAAAAATTTGTTATATGTGATAATAAAATGAAAAGAGTAAATTATTGATCGGATCAATCTATTATATTTATGTAGTTCTCATCGAATTGTATCGACTGAAAACATGATTGAAAACTTAATGAGTAAAAACAAGTTTTTCGAAACACTATTAAATAAAAATAAACAAGAAAAGTTATGGTTTGATATCTTCATGTATCTTAGTTATGATTATAAACTTATACTCAAAAAAGATCATCAGACATATGTTTGTTTTTCAGTAATGTCAAAGAGTGGAATTTTGTTAACATTCATATGGAAAAAAACCAATACGCCGACAATATTCTCAAATTAATCAACTAGACAGCAATGACTTATGAGCATTTTTGAATTTGCTGTTCCATCTTACTTCTTTTTCTTAGGAGTCATGTTCTCTTCTTCTCTCAAGAAAAAATATCGATTTCAAGCAAAGAATTGGAAATATGATCTACTTACATAATTATATACCATAGATATTTAACATTCCTATAATTGAAATACTGCAGCAATTTTAAACAAAAAAAAACATGTTATTGATGTTATATAAGATCTTGATCTTGAATAAATAACAGAAAAGATTTTTCAAAAGACAATAACCTATACCAGATAAAATGTCCATCATGACACTAATTTAAATATAATTAGATCGATTATCTCAATGTTTATTTGAAATATTTTAAAATTTAATTCCTATGAAATTTTTAATACATCAGCCATTTATATTATTATTAAAAATCTGCAAGTTAAGACATTTTATTTTAGTTTCTTGAGTCGTTACATGTTTCAAATGAAAACAGTATGAAATATCTTATAATCTATTATGATTTCTTCATTATACAATATCCATAGGGCCTAATATCATCAGGAACAAGTGATATCCAACAATTTTTAATTCCAGATTTATCATCATTGATTTTTGAGGGTGTGGGTGTTGTTTCTATGTCACACCCACACCGTCGAGAATCTGTCTTTTCAGTTATGTTTATTTCGAGATCAATTTTGGTGATCTTAGTTTATGGCAACGAAGCACATAATCGACGCCGATAGCTACTGTTAGTTTCCACCTTTTTTGGTAGACTAGTGATGTTTATTTAATAACAGGAGCTGAGAAAATAAGAACGGCACAACGGCCGTTAAGAATAAAAATGTTGAAGCGAATAATTTCTAAAGCAAAAGGTTATTTTACTGGCTCACAAGTCTATTCTATGGTATTGCGGTACCGAGGCTGTCAATGTAGGCGTACCCTCGATGTGATGTTGATGTACAGCCTGCTGCAGTAACAGTTAATGAGAATCTGTGACCAGTGCGGTTGCTATGGATGGACAAATGTTCGACTTGCCAAGCAGGTGTATAGTAGTGAATACCACTGCTACTAAAACGACTATCAGCTCCAGCTGATGACGAGGTAGCCTCATAGTATCTTTTGATAACTGTATCGTTGTTGTCAATATCGTTCAGCTCGATCATTATAAAACTAGCCGTTCCTTCAGAGTGACCGATTTGTAAAACCGCTAACCATGCAAAATAGATGCCGGAATCAGAATAGATATCTATTACTCTCGAGGCCATTGCGACAACGGCAGTATCGGTCGTATTTCCAATTCGCAACGAATACTTGCCATTGTGCACAATTCTTGGCATGCGATTTTGAAGCAATGAGTCGGAAACATTAGTAACAAGATTTGTATTTGCACTAGCAATGCTTGAACTATAGTTCGAACCGCCCGGCAGATAGTCGCCTGTTTCGATCAGAGACGATAATGTGGAACCTCGACTACCGCCACCTACTATCCACCCAGACAAGTTGCCCAATTCGAATCCACCATTAATGATAATGTCTGCAAAAAAACAGATAGTGTATTTAATGATATTATTTACACAACTCGATCATGTGTTCCCCGCATTTTTAACAAAGAATACTAAGACATTTTCAGAAATCGACACACGTTTGCTAGATGTAAACAGAAGAGAATAGCTCCATTAGAAAGCTAGTATATTTGGGGGGGGAGCTGTGGGTGTGGTTAGTACATTAACCTTACTCTGATGCCCACATCCTCACCCACACTCACACTCCGATATGTCTACTATTGGGCATTTTTATTTTTGACATTTTCGCTTTTGGCGTTCTTGGGGGGAATCGAAAATGAGTACACTAATGATTAATTGAACCTTTTTATCAACAATGTTTTCATCTGATACTGTTAGGCAGGACAAGAATATTCGGGTGTAGATCAAATCAAGTTATCAAAAACTGGCACTATTTCGACTTCTGATAGGAAATGCTCTCTAATGTTGTCTATTTAGATGACGATCATTCAATAGTTAAAATCAAAACTTTTACATATCGTCGCTTTTAGTAATCATCTTGTGAGTCACTACAAATGGTTTAACATAGTACTCACTCGGTATTGCTGTTGCTGTTGTTTCTTCTGCTGATGATGTTGCTGCTGATGTCGTGAATGATGTCGGTTCTTTTGATGATGATGCTGTTG